AGGGGCAAGAGGACACTAGCTTGTTCAACTACCGTGAGCGGGACAGTGATTGACACCACCCAGTTAACACGTGTTAGAAGATGCCTTTTGTTTTTGGAGCAGAAAGTAAACTAGTTTGCTCGAACGATTAGAAACTAAACAAATCTATGAGAAAAGATCGGAACTGTGGCTATAGAAGGAATACCAACGCTGGCTCTTTCTATCAATATGCGGAAAATCCCTGTATAAGGTTATTCTGAGAACGTGAGCATCTTCGAACAATCCCAGAATTGATACTCTGCTACTGTATGAGACAAATAAACATCGTGAAAGTTAGACTGCGGTACACTGAAATTGTATCCAAGTTCTTTCAATAGGTCTTCATCCCCTGAACTAGCAACACCTCGTCGGGGATCAGGTCAGTTTCACTCACCAGAAGACTCAGGTTTTCAGGGGGAGAATTCTTACACAGACAATGTCATCAGAAATTGAATTAATATCTTATTTTAATCATACATAGCAGGGTATTTATAAAAACTTATCATACTCCATAAATCGTCTTGAGGAGCGGAGGACTATAGACACTGGGTACATGAATAAGGTCCATTTTGATCCCATTGACGTCGGGTGCCTAATTCTGTGATTTGAGACTGCATCTCTGGTTTCGGAATCTGCTGATACTTGCAAGTTTATACCACCGATTAAGGATTATAAGTGCCGTATACTACTGAGCCATCGTCTTCCAACCTTTCGTACAAAAGTAAGAATGCAGAAGACATGAGGTAAGATAAAATCCTGCGTAAAAACCGGTGGGCATGCCGTGAAGCAAAGTGCACAAAACCCCCGTTTATAATAAACCTCGGGTTAGTCTATCATAGTTAGGTCGTTAAGTGGATGAATCTCGTCTTCAGGCTCAGGGAAAGTCAGCCGTTTCGTGCCGGAAATGGCTAATACCGAGAAGTTATGTCTGCTTGTAGGCTAGGAAAAGATTAAGGATTCAGCCAGCCACCTAATTTACAAACCAGGCCTTTGTGTTTATATTGGCCGAACAGGCCGACGTCTTGAGACTCGCATCAAGGAACATAATTCAGCCGTTCGCCGACGGGACCCTTTATCACTCGTGTTTGCGTACTCCCTTGAGTGTGATCACCGACTCAATTGGGATGTCACCGAGGTGCTCGCCGTGGCTAATATGAGGCAGGTGAGAGAATTCATCGGTGCGTGGCATTCGAGCCCGGCTAGTATAAACAGACACGTAGAGCTTGATTCACACTATACTGGGTTTCGCGCCTGGCCGACTAACCTGCACCCAGCCTGAAACAACAGCAGGCTGTCCGTGCTCGGTCAAGTAGAATTTCACTGACTCTGAACTCCACCCCCTCCCCTGAACACGTGACCCACAATCCAAAAAATAACACCTCCCTCCCTCAACAACACAACCTATCGCCGCATGAGTCACGTCACCATAACCCTCCTGCCCAATCCCACCTCGTTTGTTGTAACCTCTGATCCCAAAACCTCTAGTGCCACATTCCCAGCCCTCACTTTTCATTTAGTCTGACGACGAACAAGTGATACCTGTTCGAAAATTCACGAGTAGAACTCGATTTTCCAAAGATCTTCTTTTCATAAACCGGAATCTTAACGAACCAGGTAAAAAGCAAATTCAGGTACGACATTTTCGTATCTCCGTTTTATGTGCTGATTCCTATGGGACCAAGGAGCAGGCTCGTACCGTAGTGGACACAGGAAGAAAGGTAGATTACCAATCTTCTTATGTGATCGTCCAAAATAGGGCCTGGGTTTCCAAGCATTTCATATTTCATTATTTCGCAGGGAATAATGAGAGGAGTTGCACCTTTATTTTCTCGACCCCTGTAATCACTGCATAATAAATACAAGCAGATTCTATTTTCGGCCCTTCAATTTTAAGTCCCTTAGACACGAGCATCCACTCCATTGTTGCGTTAAAGACAAAAGTGCCACATATTCAACCTCAGTTTAGGCTTTGCCTTCATAGTACGGAACGTACATAGTTCTTTCATTTTGCAGAGTAGAGCACAGCTCCTAGCGAACAATACGGTTGAGCAAGCAAAATAAACTTACTTAAACTCATAACTTTCCCGGGCTCGGCAGTCAGATGATCCTATAATTATTCACGTCATAATTATAGGGGCTAGACGTCGGAATTGCGTGCCGGCCCAGGTCTACCACGCTCAGCCGAGTCGTGGAAATCAAGGACCGATTAAATCCTAGTTAGCAATCGGTTGTAGTGTATCGCATATCGCATTCTACTCCACAGGACAGACTGGACGCACACTTGGTTCGCCCATACACGAACATAAGTTGGATGCAAAACGGGTTGATGCATTCTCACAAGTGGCTGCCCACACCTACGAGGTGGGTAACAAGTTTAACTTCGAATTTGCGAACATAATCGCCCACGCCAGCAGCAAGACAGGCCGAGAATTGATTGAAACCTGAGCCTCGGAGGAGAACACAGTCAATCGATTTATCGATCTGGCGCCGGCATAGATAGGCCTGCACAGACATCTCTGGTCGTTGATTGCCTCCTTCCCCTATAATTGTAGATTTTTTCGTCGCCGCTTTTATCTCTGACGATGGATTTCAGGAAGAATTTGAAACCTCAGGTGAATAAAATCACAATTCCGGTGATCGACGTGCCTTCTTCGTATTTTTCTTCTTATTCTTCTTTACCTGTGTCTGAAGTTTCTGTACTCTTCGGTTGACAAAATGCACGGAAATACCTCCAACCTCTTCTTTTCAATGGAGGTCTATCGAAAAGCACGGGAGTTTGAGGTAGAAAATGCGAAAAT